TTTAAGCAAGTGATTGACATGACTGGTTTTCTTTACAAGCATTAATCTGCCAGTTGTGAAGGTAGCAGTGGTATGTGACTTTTAACAAATGTAGTTAACCTGTGGATACTTTAATTGTGTACAAGAGCTCACATGTTCTTGGATCAAAATATACACCAATGTAAAGGGGTGTTCTCTATGATGAATAAGTGCTGTAGAAAATTGACAATACTTGTAGACTCTATAACCAAAGAAAGCAGTGAATTATATTAGATAACTTTTTTTAAAAAGTTACAGACATATGAGTTTAATATGTTTAAATTATAATGAAAAATATATAAGGTAGACCAGCAGTCAGTAGATGACGTGGTCCATGGGAAATATACCTGCCCTTTGTTCATGTACCAGGTAATCTTGCCTATAACTGTCTGTCATTCTCAGTATGTGTTTTATGCAATAATATGCATAAAAATAAGCAATGAAATAAATATTTGTAGTACTTTTCTTAAATATGTGTTAAATTTCAGCAAGAAATGCCAGCACATTTTTATTTTTTTAGAACCCTGTGTGCCTCTCAGAGGACCACCTGTGCATTATTGAAAATTTGAAAAAGACATGGTCAGACTGCTGGATTTGCATTTCAGATTCACCGTTTACAAGACACATGACGTCTGTCAAATTTTTCATCTAAAATAGCAGCGTTTTGTGAAAAATTCAATTAGATAGTATTTTTAAGACACCTAGTACTATGGAGTTATACGCATATTCTTGTGGAAAGTATTTAGTATCATAGTTTTACATGTGGGAGCAGAAGGAAAATATGCCTCATTTTTGTTGTTTTAAACATGGCCCCTAAACACAAGACAGCAATTGCATATGAGATGCACCTGAAGAAAAAGCAAACTGTTAAATGCTGTAGGAAAAACAAATGCATTAGGCTTGTTGAAAGATGGTGTGTTTGTATTCAGTTGTATTTACAAAACCATGTAGCTATATTTTTGGGTGATTTGGATTGACCTTAGAACCTAACATCTGTCTTAGGAGGCAGTGGCCAGCTAACTTTGAACAAATGTTTACCTGATAGTGATACCTTGCAGTTTTTCCTTTATTTAATGAATTTGCGACAGTACAACTGGCTATATGCTTAAATATTTTTTAATATCCTTTATAGAATAGAGTTCTTATTCTTCCTTGGAACAGAGGAAATGTGATACAGCTGACCCTTGAACTACACAGGGTTAGCGGCACACTGACCCCCTGCACAGTTGAAAATCCACATACATTTTGACTCCTCCAAAACTTAACTACTAATAGCCTACTGTTGACAGGAAGCCTCACCAGTAACATAAACAGTCAATTAATACATATTTGATATATGTTATATACTTATTCTTACAATAAGGTAAGCTAGAGAAAAAAATGTTAAAATCATAAGAGAAAATACATTTCTTTGTATGTACTATACATATTTATTGAAAAAAAAATCCACGTATAAGTGGGTCTGCGTGGTTCAAACCCATGTCGTTCAAGGGTCAGCTGTACTTCATTTATTGCTGGGGTTGTTACTGGTTGATCCCAAATAATTCTAAGACAGGCTGGTGCAAGGAATTTCAAGCCTGTTTATGATTAAAGTACTAGTAAAACCAATGGCGCTCTTAAATAACTGTTTTCTGTGGTTCTTCAGTCAGGCTTTGTTTTGTGAACACACACACACACACACACACACACACACACACTGTTACATAACATGGTGGGTATTTAGTCCAATAGCTTCTCTACTTAATACTGACTCGTGTTCTAGCCAGACTGATCATTTGAAATATTGTCCTTGGCTGTCTGAAGGAGAACTGGGAATTGGTTCTTGTAACCTTGTGATTTATGGAGTCTGAGTCTTCCTGTTTATTGTTTGATGTTTTGAATCACAGAGAAACTTAGATAATTGAAGGGAACTCTTAAGCAGAATGTAGGATTCTTTATTTTATTCTTATCAAATTAGCAAGGAATGAAATGAAAATTAATTTTTAAAAATGTTCTTCCTTTGAGAGTTGCCTTAAGTTTCTACAAGGCCCTTTGGTAGCAAGTTACTTAAGTGGACTGGAAGAAGGTAGCCTATTCTGTCTGTTTCTGATACCCCTGAGAATGGCTGGGACAGAAACAGGATTTTTTTTTTTCTGCTCGTACATAACCTGATTTTATTTTCTTTCTGCATATACAGCACCTGTTTTTATACTACATAACAGTGAGCAAAACACAGAAACCAAGCCCATCCAATAAAAAATATTTTAAACCTCTCACCTTACTAGTTTCTGAAATGCCTAATACTTTCTTCCAAAGAAGTTACCAGTTCACTGGTTTTTGTTGTTTTTTTTTTTTTTTCTCAGAAGAAGGGCTTGTGGAGATGAGTATAGAGTAGTGTGATTTAAGTGTTTTAAGTTTTGATTCACTTAAATGTATTCTATTCATGTCGATTACGGATCAGTAGGAGGAAGCTTTGAGAATTAAGGACAAGTAAGTTTATGATAGCTTAAGGACAAGAAGCTTATGGTAGCTAGATTAATTTCAAAAAAGATCAGAAAATAAATATTTTAAACTTCCACTGACCTTATTAAAATATACTGCCAGAAATACGCTGAGCCATTCTCATAAATTAGTCACCTTGCCAAACAGCTGTGGCAATTTGATATAATAAAAAGAACAGTGATTTGGAAATCAGAAGATTGGGAGATTTTGTATTGGCTCATTCACAGGGTGATTAAATGACATGTGAAAGTCCCCTGGATAAGGAAGCTATGCATGAGAGGACAGAATCAGGCGATCTATAGAAGATTCTTCTAAGAGTCTGCTCAAATTTAGAAACCATAGTAAGAACTTACCAAGAAAGTTCTGGTGAGAGTAGAAACTTTGTTTCATACAGAGTTGCAGTGTTACTTTTTCTAGAATACTATTATTAGCATTCTCTCTCTTGAAGCAAACAGTATATGAGTTGGGATTCTATTGTGCATAATAAATCATCGTTGGTTTAAGCAGAAAGATATTAAATGGCTTGCATGATTGCTGGGAGGGCTGAAGAAACAGTCTAGGCTCAGCTTCTAAGAACAACTAACGTCATAATATAGGACTGGGCTACTGGGGGGGCGGGGCTGCTGCCTCTGCCGAGAATGGAGCCTAAAATTGAGAAGCTGCCAGTTGGAAAGCTACCACCAGTTAGCAGCAGCAGAAGCATCTTGCCTCTGCTACAATCTGTCTCAATATGGCGAATGTCCTGTGCCCTGCCTCTCTTCCCCTATTCGGGTTCTGCTCTAGGACTTGCCCACAGCTTTTCTGACTGGTGGAACCAAAATCACATCGGAAATTCTAGTTGCAGGGGAGTCCTGAGGTGACATCTTTCCAACCTCTGTATGCCAGATGTGATACACTCTGACAAGCCAATCCATTGTATTCCCTCCATTGACAGATAGTAAACTAAACATTTATGATAAATAATATACATATATTTTTACGGTTTGCAAAGTAGACTCACATCCTTTTTATTTAGAGCTAGCATCACTACATATAAAAATGCTATTTCTGGTCATTCCCACAAAAGCATCTCTGATAAAAATTGAGAGCAGCACATACATGATTTCCTAAAGATGCAAAGCTGATACAGAAAACAGGATTTTAAGTTTGGGATTCTCCTTCCAGGTCTTTTTTCTCTGTGTTGGTTCTGTTTCCATCTGTGTCTTTCCCCCATGAAACATCCTCCACCTTTTCAATTTGATTTGCTCTTTACTGTGCAGACCTGTGCGTGAAGAGTCCGAGCACTCTGAGGTCGATGTTCCTGGCCGGTGGCATGGTGTCTATGTGAACAGAACATCTCCAACACCTGTGGAGTCTGCAACCACTGTTAAGTCCCTTATTAAGTCATTTGACTTGGGACACCCAGGTATTCAATCATTTTGTTTCATAAGCAAAACTCAAATTTAAACTGTGGCCCCAAATATCAAGCATGTCTCTATTCCACCTTAGCCCCAAATTGATGCAGCCCCAAGGGTTCTTTCTAGATCATTCCACATGCTCCCTCTGTGTAAAGGAGGCTTGCAGCCTGTCTAAAGTTCCAGTGAGATGATGATGAGGAGTCTGGCTCACACATAATACAATCTCTTCTTTCTCTCTCCCTCTTCCTTGCCTCCAGTTTCTACCTTATCACCTTCCTTTTCTGCCTCTATGTCCATTAAATTCGGGTCGCTACTATTTGCCTTCTTACAGGGTCAGCCAGAGGCTTCGTCTTTTAGGAAATGAGGCATTAAATCTTCATTCGCTTCTCTTGTTGGTACCCTTGGCCTTCTGCTTCTTGCAATATGCAGTTAGAATTTTCTCTACCTGGTCTGGTCTTGTGTGTGACCATCTGTGCTGATCTGTCATTCTTGATCATGGTACAGTCCCACCTTTTTCTGGAAATGTCTGGTTGACTCACAAGTCACCTTTATTCCTTGTTATCTACATATATGGGAAAAATGCATATTATATTCTACACTCATAAATATAGTACATAGAAGAAAACAAATGTGCATCTATCCAAAATAACTATATTTCTTCCCTTGACTACAACAAAAGTGCTTGTCTTATTGGAAGACAGTCATAATACCTAATCTTAGGATGTATCTGGTTATCTCTGCCAAAATAGTTTTCATCTAAATTAGATTAAAATTAGACTGCAAATATTGAAAGATATGAAATCCCAGTGGCTACATTCAGTCTATGAAGATGGGAAATTAATTAACAATAATGGTCTGTGCAAGAGCTTTCCCGTTCCTTATTGCCACAGGTGCCTCATTACATCTGTTTCGTTTTTCCTCTTGTGTCCTACATCTAAGACCACCTCCATTTAGTTGACTCTCCCCTTCTCATTCCCTAATTCAACACTAGTCCAGAGAAGAAAAAGAGGAAAAATTAAACGTAATGCTTTGTAAGCCTCATAGGATATTTGTTTAGTCTCTAAAAAAAGTAACAAATCAGGCACTATTATTTACTATTCCGAACTGAGCAACATAGAAATGTTCCCATCTCTTTTTTTGGCAGGTGGAGCTGGACAGAATATTTCTGTCCATAAGGCCCCCAGAAGTCCCCTGAGTGGAATACCAGTGAGGACTGCCCCAGCTGCTGCTGTTTCTCCAATGCAGGTATTAAAAGAGTCTGGCATGTGTGGGTGGTGGTCAGTGTCACATCATATTATAACAATGTCTTCTACACAAGCAACAAAAAAGAAGTGAAAACCAATTGGTTTATTTTGTGAGGCACGTTGCACATCATTTTTAATAAGCCTAAAATAATAATAGTTTAACTCATTAAAAATCACACTTTTGATACCTAATAAAGGTCCAAGAGGGACACTGTAAACTTTATACAGTTTTGTTAATAACTCTTTGTTTTCCATAAGATGACAGTTTTGAAATTTCAGTTAAATGAAGATTGTAATTTTTACTAGACATGGACATTGAACTAGATGTTGTTCTCAAAGAACTTTTTTAAATGTCCCAGAGAGAAAGAATGTTTACAGTTAATAAATTCTCAGAGTTCACTAGATGCAGCCTGTCACCGTTGCCATCTTTGATGGTTTTAGGCCAGAGCCCGTTGGCGTTTTCTGAGACCAGGGCTTTGGCGTCGATGGCATTCGGCATACTGCCTCCCCCGCGCTGAGATCGGCACTGTTATCACTAGGTTTCGTTTTCTGGTGTCCTTAGTAGCTGTGTTTGTTGTTTGAGGTCTTTTAAGGTTTTTTTTTTTTTACTTTTTTACCCTTGAAGGTATCTTCCACTACCTTGTATGTTAAACCAAACAAAACAATTTTTTATGATAATTGACAAAATTATTTAATAAAACTGAAACAGATCATGCTTCACTTTCCTCATCGATAATGAATGAGCTGTGAATCTTAGTTTGCTGCGAACAAGTGCCCTATGGGAGGGCACTTTGCTGTTTTCCAGTTTCTGTGGTATAAATATTTCCACCATTGCCGATTTCAGGCTATCTCCATGACATCAGTGAATGTGGAGTTGAGAAGAGAGATGCATTGTATAGTATTTCTATAGTACAGATACATTAGGTATAAATAACCTCAATAGTAAAAATATAGTAAAATAATTAGGAAGCAGTGGATTTTATGTATTTATTACTTTTGCTTTTAATAAGTTTAATAACGGCTATGTTTAACAAGTAGTTTGCAAAATTCCTGAAGATTTGGCAATTGGCCCTTATGAGCAGCACACTACTGGCTATAATTTACGTAGAGTTAAGTACACTCTTAAGTATATAGCTTGAATGTTTCTATATGTATATGCCCATGCTACCAACAGCAAGATATCATTTCTATCACCTCAGAAGGCCTCCTCGTGCCACCACCTGTCTGTAAACCCTTAGAAGTCACCATTATTCTGACCTCTGTCACCATGTATTTTATGTGCTCTTGGCTTCATGTAAGTAGAATCATAGAGTATCTTTTCCTTTGTGACTGGATTGTTTCGCTCAACATTATGTCTGTGAATTCATTAATGTTGTTACAGCAGTTTGTTCTTTTCATTGCATAATAGTGTTCCTTGTATAACTATTCCAGTTCATCGTTCTACTGATGGTTGACTTTGGGTTATTACCAATTTTTTACTCTTGTGTTGATTTTAAAAATATCTTTTCCTAAAATTTCAGTTTAAAAGAGAAGTTGAAAATCTCCCTTGCTCCCTAGCCCCAGAAATAACCACCGTCTCTGGCTGATTGTGTATCCCTCAAGATGTTTTTCTTTAGCATAAAA